TCCCATCCCTCATCCTATGTTGGACCCGGAGAGAGAGAGAGAGAGAGAGAGAGAGCAATAACCTCCTCGACACAAGGAAGAAAAAAAGGCTGCAGCAGCGTAAACTTTCACGACATTAATTTACACACACACACACACACACACACACACACACACACACACACACACACACACACACACACACACACACACACACACACGGGTATTAATGTGTACGTTTTTGAGGTCAGGGTTGGGTGAGGTAGGAAGGTGGGAGGAAAGGAGGGAGGTTAAAGTGTTCATGTGGCATAACTAAAACTGATTCAGGACACACACACACACACACACACACACACACACACACCTCTCAGACTCAATACATGATTATTGACTTGCTCATTAATTCATCAACACACTCGCTCACACCTTCACACACACTCTCTCTCTCTCTCAACAGACTACGAACAGGTATTGGCACTGTATGGCACGATTACCCCCCCTCTAGGACACACCCACCACTATAAGCATACCTTTGTACGCTAATGGTGCCTCGACATGAATGAGACACAATGTGGCACTAATATATCCAAGGACTGTGTGTGTGTGTGTGTGTGTGTGTGTTTCCCCAAGGACATTGCGTGCGTGGTAAGTGAGTCAAGTGTGTGTGTGTGTGTGTGTGTGTGTGTGGTGCTGCATGAGAGTTGTGATAGTGGACCATATTGATTACCGGACATCAATATGGCTGGCGGGTCATTCATAGCGCGCGCACGCACACACACACGCACACACACACACTATGGGATGTGTATGTGTGTGTGCGTGTTAACAAGCAATCAAGGAAAGAAGGAAAAAAAGAGAGAGAGCACACGTGTCCACAAGTGTACATTAACTCACCCACAAAAAAATCCGGGAGGTTAATTATCGCTACATCAACAGGTAGGCACGCAATCTTCGACAGGTGTACAGACTGTAATCAAAAGGTAAGCTAAAACACCTATGTCGTCACGTCTTATTAAACATCAAGAACACGTACACAAATCTACTAACTTAAAAATTTTGACGATAAAAACAAAACAAAATTCCAATAATGAAATGTAAATCACGTACATAAACAATAAACAAAGGTGAATAACATTTAGTCATAAGCTAATTAAGCCTCACCTGGGTAAAAAAATAATCATCTCTCAGGAGCACCGAATAAAACATCCAGCAGTCAGGTCAGGTGAGGCGGTCACTTGGCTTACTATTAAAATAACTCCAATCACAGTCAATAAAATCATGTGTAATTTATTGTTTGGAGGAGAAATAACAACACAGCGGTAGTGAACAGCAGCAGCAGTCTCCCGAAGGAACAGCATTGTGTGTGTAATGGAGAACAAGCAAAATAGCGTTGTCTGCTTCTAAAAATATCGTCTACGTAACAGCAGACAAACAGCAGACTAAGAACAGGTACAGCAATCATAGCAGAACAAGAACAGCAGACCAGGTACAGCAGAACAACAACAGCAGACCAGGTACAGCAGAACAAAACAGCAGACCAGGTACAGCAGAACAAGAACAGCAGACCAGGTACAGCAGAACAACAACAGCAGACCAGGTACAGCAGAACAACAACAGCAGACCAGGTACAGCAATTACAACAGACAGCATCCACACAGGAACTCGTAAGGGAACAGGACGTATGTGGGTGTATGTGGATATGTGTGTTTGGATGTGTGTGTGGATAGGGATTGGGTGGACAATCTCGTGCCTGGTTTCTCCCCTCTCTTCCCCTCACCTCCTCTCCCTCAACACAGCAGGGCGTCGTCATGGCAACCTCTCCTCTCCTCCCCCCCTCAACGCTAAATTAGGTTACATGGATCAAAGCGAGATGTAGTGTAGGCCATGTCAGGGACCACTCTCCCTCCCTCTCATGCACCAGACACACACACACACACACACACACACACACACACACTCACACACTCACTCACGCACGCACTCACTCTTTCCAACACACACTCGCGAACGGACTCTTCACAACACACTCATTCATTTACTCACTATCCTCAACACACTCATTCATTCCTCCTCACTCACTCTTTCCAACGTACCTCACTCACGCACGCACTCTTTCCAACACACTCGCGAACGCACTCTTCACAACAAACACACTCATTCATTTACTCAATGTCAACACACTCATTCGCGCACTCACTTCACAACACACACACACTGTTACCACCTCAACACCCCCCCACACACACAGGTCACTCTACACCGTTCTGATGACACACCTGAACCGTGGAGAATACAACAACTCCGCCCAGGTAAGTCTTTGCGTCATCCAGGTAACCCAACATGCTGCTCTAACCTTACCGTCCACACACACACACACACACACACACACACACACACACACACACACACACACACACACACACACACACACACACACACACACACACACACACACACACACACACACACACACACACACACACACACACACACACACACACACACACACACACACACACACACACACGACCTCCATGACCCATCAATTCTCAGTAAACTTTCAAGGGAAATTAAATGTCACCAAAGACGGTAAAACACACAGAGAGGGAAGGACTGGGAGGAGGAAGAGGGCATAGACGGCGACAGGGAGGAGGAGGGGACAGGGGGATGAGGAGGAAGACAGGAAGATGGAGGATTGGGACAGAGATGAGAAGGAAGAAGAAGAGAACAGAGAGGAGGGAGAAGACAAGGAGGATAAGGAGGGAGAACAGGGAGATGGAAGAGGGTGGCACAACAAGAGACTGGGAGGTCTCTCTCTCTCTCTCTCTCTCTCTCTCTCTCTCTCGACGTCGCTGCAACACTGTTATGATCGAAGGCCAACATTATTAGCATGAATAAATAAGGCGCGTCAATAAACCGATCTCTGACTGCTACCTGGGTGGGTGGGGTGTGGTGGGGAGGGTGAGGTAGGGGAAGGTGAGGGAGGGAGGAGGAGGTGAGGAGAGGGGGTGGGGAATGGAGGGAAGGGGGAATTACTGGTGGATGAGGGTGAGTGAGTGGGTGGATGAGTGAAGTGGGTGGATGAGAGGGTGGATGAGAGGGTGGATGAGAGGGTGGGTGGATGAGAGGTGGTGAGTGGGTGGATGAGTGAGTGGGTGGATGAGAGGGTGGATGAGAGGGTGAGTAGTGGGTGGATGAGTGAGTGGGTGGATGAGTGAGTGGGTGGATGAGTGAGTGGGTGGATGAGAGGGTGGGTGGATGAGAGGGTGGGTGGATGAGAGAGGGTGGATGAGTGGGTGAATGAAGGTGAGCAGGCGAGAGACAGTGGATGATGGTGGAAGAGTTTCACGAGTCATAAAGTAAAAAAAAATTTCGCCATTGGCAAACTTATTAATGTACTTTTAATATGCTTCCTAAACACGCTTCCCGAGAGAGAGAGAGAGAGACGTGTTCTGGTGTCATTGTGCGAGGTCTCACAAATATCCTGTATTTTACGTCAGTCTCTTACGAATTCAATTATTATTATCAGTGTTATGAGTAGGACGTGACCTCGGTGACTGGGGGGGTGAGTGAGGAGAAGGGAAGGGTGAGGAGAATGGAAAAGTGAGGAAAAGGGAGAAGAGAGAGGAGAAGATCAGGTCATGCCAGGTCATGCCAGTGTGTAAGAGTTGCATCACACGCACAAATACATTCACTTAACCTAACCTAAAGACGACACTTAATAATATATAACGACTTAACAAGGTGAAAGGGTTCCATATACAATTACCTGAGTTACCTGATTGGTTAGGTTAGGTTAGATGGCTATATGAGAGGTAGGTGTTGGGTGTACATGGGACTTGCCTAGTGTGGGACCCGCTGCAGTTTCCTCATACGTTCTTAATTAACGATACAGGTGTATAATGGAAATACCTGTTGAATGGGTTCGTAGAGAGAGAAAATGGAGAAAGGAAAACAGAAAAGAAAAAAGAAAAAAAAGAAAAGAGAAAAACAGACAAAAAGAGAGAGAGAGAGTGATAAACAAGGCTGGACGGGGCATCAGGTGAGAGGGGTGGTCGTCATGGCAACCTAAGACAAAGTAGGAGGAGGAAGAGGAAGAGGAGGTACCGACTGTCGTGAGGTTGGCGGGTAGAGACACCATCTTTTGTTATAACACGGAGACAGGAGGGGATACCTCACCTGGTAACAAGGGTGGGTGGGTGGGTGGGTGGGTGGGTGGGGTGGGTGGGTGTGTGTGTGTGTGTGGGTGGGTGGGTGTGTGTGTGTGTGTGTGTGTGTGTGTGTGTGTGGGTGGGTGGGTGGGTGGGTGGGTGGTGTGTGTGTGTGTGTGGGTGGGTGGGTGGGTGGGTGGGTGTGGTGGTGGGTGGGGGGTGGGGGTGGTGTGTGTGGGGGGGTGGGTGTGTGTGCAACAACGGTAAAGCAGTCGACACGGGTAAAGTAATGGTAAATACTTCCCCATCCATCAATAAAGTACTTTCCCTCATCCACCAATGAGTATTTCCCTCATCCACCAGTAAGAACTTTCCCTCATCCAACAGTACGTACTTTCCCTCATCCACCAGTAGTACTTTCCTCATCCACCAATGAGTACTTTCCTCATCCAACAGTACGTACTTTCCCTCATCCACCAGTAAGTACTTTTCCTCATCCCCCAATGAGTATTTCCCTCATCCACCAGTAAGAACTTTCCCTCATCCACCAGTACGTACTTTCCCTCATCCACCATAAGGTGCTTTTCTCATCCACCAGTAAGAACTTTCCCCATCCACCAGTAAGTACTTTCCATATCTTAACACTTACCTCGCCGACGTAGTGAAGCTTATCCAGGTGGTGGCACTTACCTGTAATCCACGCAGCGAACCACATCCACCAGGCAGTACTTCCCTCACGCATGGAGAAGCACTAATCCGCCCACCCAGAGAGTATTACTTATCCACCCAGTGAGTAGAAGTTATCCACCCAGAGAGTAGAAGTTATCCACCTAGAGAACAGAAATCATCCACACAAGGAACACCCACTACTCACCTCATCCACATAGCGAACTTCATCCACTTGGTAACGCTGACGAAACTCCTCAGGTGTGATAATTCGACCCATCCAGGTGGCGTAGTGCTCAGGTAGGCGGGGACAGAAGAGCACAGTGCGGCCAGTCTCTACCTCCACCACCCCAAACCACCCGGGCTCCAACACGCCGAGGCCAGTGGAAGTAAGTCTCCTGCAGGTAACACAAAAAACGAGAGGTTGTTTAGTCTATTATTGAAGGACAAAAACAAGTAAAATTTAAGAGAGAGAGAGAGAGAGAGAGAGAGAGAGAGAGAGAGAGAGAGATCAAAACAATAATTCGACTCAAAAAATAAATAAATACTCAGGGTGGCTAATCTCCAGGTGAAATAAATAAATAAACTGAGGGGTGGTTAATCTTCAGGTGATCCAAAACACCTGAGCAATTACCAACGAGCAAAACAAATAACATGACTCCAACATAAAGAGGAAATTTTCACGACACAACTTGACAACTTTCTACCAATTATTTCAGGTGAACCGGTTGGCGGTGCCAGTCAGGTTGTCACTCGTGGGGCGGCAGAAGTAACCCAGGAATTGATGCAAGACAGCGGGCCAGGTAGATACAGGTAATTACAGGTAAATAGAGATAGATACAGGTATATACAAGTAATTACAGTTAGATACAGGTAATTACAGTTAGATACAGGTAATTACAGTTAGATACAGGTAAATAGAGATAGATCCAAGTAATTACAGGTAGATACAGGTAAATTCGGGTAAGAAGAGGTAAATATATTCCACAGGTAGCCAGGATGAGGTGCTGTCAGATAATTTAAGGTGTATCAAGTTCACCATACGGCTTGAGGGTTGACTAATGAGGTTAGGATGTGTTGTGGTGGTAGGTGAGTGGGAGGGAAAGTAGAAGAGTTGTGGTAGGTGGTGGTGAGTGGGAATGAGAACGTGTAGGAAGGACTGAGAGGGCACACTGGGTTTATCAAAAAAGGAGAAAAAAGAGACAGCATGACAAGTGATGGTGTGGAAAGGCGTGAGAGGAACAGCTCAGCGTAAAAAGGGTCATGGGAAGGGGGGAAAGGGAGGAAGGGTGAGGGGAGAGGGGTGAGACCTTCCAGGTTGCGACTTCATATTTTAAACACACACACACACACACACACACACACACACACACACACACACACACACACACGAGCGAAAAGATACACTTGCAAATCCGGATAAAAACAGAAATATAAAAGTTCAAATATCGAACTGTGGCCGCTCGTATAACACACACACACACACACACACACACACACACACACACACACACACACACACACACACACACACACACACACACACACACACACACACACACACACACCAAAAATAGAAAGTTATCTTACAGTGTTGTCTCACCTGTGTTGTTTTTTTCGAAATTTAAGTGGTTACCTGTTTAGTATTTTTAAAGTCGAATAAACTGATCAGCTGACACACTCTTTATTTACTAACACACGGAGACCAGATCAGCTGACCCACTCTTTATTTACTAACTTACGGAGACCAGATCAGCTGACCCACTCTTTACTAACACACACGGAGACCAGATCAGCTGACCCACTCTTTATTTACTAACACACGGAGACCAGATCAGCTGACCCACTCTTTATTTACTAACACACACGGAGACCAGATCAGCTGACCTCTTTATTTACTAACACACGGAGACCAGATCAGCTGACCTCTTTATTTACTAACACACGGAGACCAGATCAGCTGACCCACTCTTTTTTACTAACACACGGAGACCAGATCAGCTGACCCACTCTTTGTTACTAACACACGGAGCCAGATCAGCTGACTCACTCTTTATTTACTAACACACAGAGACCAGATCAGCTGACCCACTCTTTATTTACTAACACACGGAGACCAGATCAGCTGACACACTCTTTTTTACTAACACACGGAGACCAGATCAGCTGACACACTCTTTATTTACTAACACACGGAGACCAGATCAGCTGACCCACTCTTTATTTAACACACGGAGACCAGATCAGCTGACACACTCTTTATTTACTAACACACGGAGACCAGATCAGCTGACCCACTCTTTATTACTAACACGGAGACCAGATCAGCTGACCCTCTTTATTTACTAACACACACGGAGACCAGATCGCTGACCCACTCTTTATTTACTAACACACGGAGACCAGATCAGCTGACCCTCTTTATTTACTAACACGGAGACCAGATCAGCTGACACACTCTTTATTTACTAACACACGGAGACCAGATCAGCTGACCCACTCTTTGTTACTAACACACGGAGACCAGATCAGCTGACCCACTCTTTTTTACTAACACACGGAGACCAGATCAGCTGACCCACTCTTTGTTACTAACACACGGAGACCAGATCAGCTGACTCACTCTTTTTACTAACACACACGGAGACCAGATCAGCTGACCCACTCTTTATTTACTAACACACGGAGACCAGATCAGCTGACCCACTCTTTTTTACTAACACACGGAGACCAGATCAGCTGACCCACTCTTTTTTACTAACACACGGACCAGATCAGCTGACACACTCTTTTACTAACACACGGAGACCAGATCAGCTGACCCTCTTTATTTACTAACACACGGAGACAGATCAGCTGACCCACTCTTTTTTTACTAACACACGAGACCGATCAGCTGACCCACTCTTTACTAACACACGGAGACCAATCAGCTGACTCACTCTTTGTTACTAACACACGGAGACCAGATCGCTGACCCACTCTTTATTTACTAACACACGGAGACCAGATCAGCTGACCCACTCTTTATTTACACACACGGAGACCAGATCAGCTGACCCACTCTTTTTACTAACACACGGAGACCAGATCAGCTGACCCTCTTTATTACTAACACACGAGACCAGATCAGCTGACCCACTCTTTATTTACTAACACACGGAGACCAGATCAGCTGACCCACTTTTACTAACACACGGAGACCAGATCAGCTGACCCACTCTTTGTTACTAACACACGGAGACCAGATCAGCTGACCCACTCTTTATTTACTAACACACGGAGACCAGATCAGCTGACAACTTTATTTACTAACACACGGAGACCAGATCAGCTGACCCACTCTCTACCAACACGTGGGAGAACAGATCAGCTGACTCACTCTTTGTTTACTAACAGATCGGAGAGAAAGTCAACACCTAAATATTCACAAGCGAGGCAACAGACCAGCTGACTAGACTATTTACCATATGACGCGACAACAGGATGACGTCTAACCAGTGTTTATAAACAAGGAGAGCCGACCAGCTGATTAATGTTTACTAATAGAGAGACATGTCAACTGATCCATGTTTACACACACGGGAGGGCAGGGCAGGGCAGGGCAAGGCAGGGCAAGGCAGGGGAGGGCAGGGCAGGGCAGGGGAGGGCAGGGCAGGGCAGTTGATCAACACTACACGAGCAGAGGGCGTCGTATTTATACAGTATTCATCATGAGGTAAACAAGGCAGCCCCTGAATACTGACAACAGCAAGCAATGTTTACCAATATCAAGCACTACAAAGACAGTAAATGGATCACCTAAAGAATGGCCACCCCAGCTTATTTCACCTAACCTAACCTAAACCTCACCCACCCCACAAATAGTGTTATGGTAGTTAGGTCAGGTGAAAATTAATAAGCTAGGGTGGTGATTCTCCAGGTGGTCCCAAAAGATGCATCAGGCAGGTGTGTTGCTGTTAATGACATACTAGAGGCAGACATTTAATTAACCCCACTAAGGCTGAAATTCAAATAACTTCCGTCGTAACTTGTCAACACCACAACGGGATTACAATTGTAGCCTGTAAGGAACCTTAACTATGGGACAAATTATGGCCAAGTCAATACCATACACCCAGTCGTTGCTCACCATACGTACAAAATTACCTTAAAACACTGGTTAAGTACGTAAAGTTTATCCAAGGACAGACAAACAAACAGACAATGCTATAACCCTCAAGGCGAACTAGGTGATAGTGAAGAGGATAATAAACAAATGAACAGTGTGTGTCTGTGGGGGGGGGGGGTTAACAAGAACACAAAAGCATCAGAGGTGTAGCAGGAGTAAGGACACGAGTCACGAGGTTGAACAAATAAAGAGAAATTCTACCTGATTGTCTGTAATGTGACGCGGCTCTCTGTCTCACACCCACCACCATGGTCCTGACGTGACATGACCTTTCCTGTCTAACACCGTTATATACGTGTCAGGAGTTCCTAGACACACGGTTATACTGACAGTAGATCCTAGACACACGGTTATACTGACAGTAGATCCTAGACACACGGTTATACTGACAGTAGATCCTAGACACACGGTTATACTGACAGCAGATCCTAGACACACGGTTATACTCTGACAGCAGATCCTATACAGACAGATGGTTACACTGACAGTAGATCCTAGACACACGGTTATACTCTGACAGCAGATCCTATACAGACAGATGGTTATACTGACAGTAGATCCAAGACACACGGTTATACTCTGACAGCAGATCCTATACAGACAGATGGTTACACTGACAGTAGATCCTAGACACACGGTTATACTCTGACAGCAGATCCTATACAGACAGATGGTTACACTGACAGTAGATCCTAGACACACGGTTATACTCTGACAGCAGATCCTAGACACACGGTTATACTGACAGCAGATCCTATACAGACAGACGGTTATACTGACAATAGACCCTAGACAGACACACAGAGAAAATAAGGAGTCTGCAATAGGCCGGTTGGTGCGCAGCTCCTGTCGACAGTTACTACCACTCTCTATCATCCATGAATCTGTCTAGCATCCTTTTAGATCCCAGACAAACATTTATAATCTGACAGTAGATCCTAAACAGACAGACGGTTATACTGATATACTGACAGACAGACGGTTAAACAGACAGACACGTTATACTGACAGACAGACGGTTAAACAGACAGACAGGGGTTATACTGACAGACAGACGGTTATACTGACAGACAGACGGTTATACCCCCAACACCTCCGTAATGAAACAACATAGTGACCTCAGACAGTGTACTATGAGGCCATGCTGTATGGAGTATACAAACCAGAATACAATGTGACGAATGTACCTCTAGACGCGTGTGTGTGTGGTGGCCTCCGTGTCACCAT